CATATGCTTGTTGGCCATCTGCATTTCCTCTTTGGAGAAGTGTCTTTTTAGCTCTTCTGCCCATTTTTTGATGGGATTGTTTACTTCATTTTTGTTGAGTTTCATCAGTTCTCCGTATATTTTTGTGACCAGTCGTTTATCACTACTTTTGTGTGAGAAAGTGTTTTCCCAGTTAGTGGGCTGTCTTGAAAACCATGGTTTTTTAAAGTTTTTTCCTTTTGATGTGGGGCTGCTCTCCCTGCAAGCAGACTGCTTGGGCCGCGCCAGCTGTTAGCAGCAGGAAGGGGTTAGCTGTTCTGCCCTGGGCGCTCCGCCTGGGAGCCGCTGCAGTCCGGCAGAGCTGCGAGGCTCTGGAGCCCATGCCTCCGGCTCCCCTGGGCACCGCCAGGGCTCCGGTCCAAGAGAGTCCGGGGCTGTGCGCGCCCTCCTCCCCACGGGCTGCCCCAGCTGGAACAGCGCTTGTGGAACCAGCCAGACACACACTGCCCTTCCTCCCCCGCCTCAGGAGGGGGTGATTTGGAATAAGAGCCTTCCTGAGAGTTCCCAGCACTAGCCCTGGCCTGGGGTGGGGGTGGGGGTGGGCGGATGGACAGTGGCAGCAGGCTTGGTTATGGACCGACTGGATGCCTGGGGCCTGCAGGGAGTCACAGTAAGATTACCCAAAGGAAAAAAAATTAATCTCCAGACAACGCAAAGAATTCTCAGGAGCCCTGTGCCCACACCCTGTGAGCATGACCATTTACCGTGTTGTTGTTTCAGTTCTTGCTTTCATTACTAAAGTGAGCAATCACTTGTCAGGTTATCTATTCCCTGTGTTGCCCTCTAAGTAGTCATTATCGCCCCTGTCTCTATAAGGACATCGAGGCCCCAGCAGTTGTTGGCTGGAGACCTGCCTGGTTGTGGCCCGTGGCGACAGGGCTGGACCCGCAGGTCTGAGGGTGCCTGCCACACCAGCGCTGTGTGGGGTCAGTGGGCCGGACAGCGTTCCCGGAAGACAGTATGCCAACTGCCAGAGGTGGGTGGTGGCCAGTGGAGTTGGAGGGACGTGGTGTCACCGAGCCCGGCTCCGTTTGGAGGCTCCGTTCAGCTGCTGGCCTCGGGCCCTGTGCTTGACTGGCTCATGGGTTAGGGTTCCCGCTCAGATTTCCTTTTCTCCTTTTGTCTGTCTTTTCCCTCTTGGATTTGCTCTTACTTAGACGTTTTTCCGCCTTGATCAGCCCTGAGCACTCTATCTCAAGCTCACCCCTTCACTTGTAGCTAGATTGTGGCTGCCCTGGGTGCCCAGGCGCTGGAGGGTTCTGAGTGCGGTGGAGTTTGCTGCCCAGACCTCATCCACAGGGAAGCGTGGCGGTTCCTCAGGCTCACTCGCCACACTTCTCCACTTACCATCTGGGCAGATGCTGGGGTGGGAGATACTCAGGGTTTGCCGAAGGCCACCTCGCTGGAGTCACAGACGAGCCCAGACCCGGCATCACGGGGCCACCTCAGCCCGTGTTGTCTCGGCGACCCCCAAAGTACGCTCCACCTTCTCCAGGCCTCGGAACACCGGGGCACATCTAAGGAGCCTTTACAGGGGGGCCTCTGATCCCAGACACGTTGATGGAACTTTGCCTCATGACGGCCCCAGCCGTGAATTTGATGAGCGGATGGGCCAACACAGGCTGTTTCCTCAGGTACTTTGAAGGTGGCGTCTCATCTGTCTACCTCTGGGATCTGGATCATGGTTTTGCTGGAGTGATCCTCATAAAGAAGGCTGGAGATGGATCCAAGAAGATCAAGGGCTGCTGGGATTCCATCCATGTGGTGGAAGTGCAGGTACCACTACCCAGTGGCGGGCGGCCTGGCCAGAGGGGCAGCCTGTTTGCCGGCAGATGTTCTCGTGGGGTGGCGGGATGCTGTGATGTCGCTGGCTCCTGAAAGCGCCCAACGCCATTGAGCAGAGCGGCGTCAGCACCGCAGCAGCTGCCGATGACAAGGGTCCCGGCACAGGCACCTTCTGCACCTTAGAGGCCAGCTGGGCTTGTGCAAGGAGACGTGCACCTGTGTCTCGGAAGGGGCCCTTTGGAGAGACTGGACTCGGGTCGTGCCCGCGAGCTCGGTGTGTGGTGGCTGTGCCCAGACTCTGAGCTCCGTCTCTTCCCCCAGGAGAAATCCAGTGGCCGCACCGCCCACTACAAGCTGACCTCCACGGTGATGCTGTGGCTGCAGACCAACAAGTCCGGCTCTGGCACCATGAACCTCGGAGGCAGCCTCACCAGACAGGTAGTGTCTTGGGGCCAGCTCGGGGCTGGGCGTGCCCCGCCCTGGGGGTTGGGCCGGGCCCTGCCATGCGGCCTCTCCCAGGCTGTCCTCCTCTGAGATCAGTCACGGGCGACCTTGTCTTGGGCTCCGGGTGTCCATATCAGCGTGCTCCTGTGGAGCTGGGGCATCCGTCCTACAGCACTGCCACGTGAGGGGGCCTCTCGCTGCCACTTGGCTCACGCACTGGGACTCTGGGTTGCGACTAACAACTTAAACATGGAAGCGAGTCAGTTCAGGTAGTTAAGAAGGCGCCTCCCCGTTAACTTGGAGCAGCGAAGCAGGCCGAGGCCCTTGCCAAGGGCCCGTGGTTAAGACCCCTGACAGCCCCAGCCACAGCAAGGCCTTTGGGTAGAGGGAGGCAGGTCCAGGCCCCGAGGTGGCTGTGGCAGAAATGCAGCTTCTTGAGAAGGTCCTAGAAGGACACTCCGTCGGCAGGGCCGCCTTCTCCCCACCTCCTCGAGTGCCCAACTGTGAGTGTTCCTTAATGTTGACATGTGCTTTCCTCTAGGAAGTAATTACGCATCTATTAGCCTTGAGTAGAAAACACATAACTCTTTCAAGTCAGTTTGTTTTCTAGTCAAAAATCCTCTCCGTCCATGTGGGAAAGGGAGCAGGCTGTGGTGTTGGGGAGCAGGGGGAGCCCCCACTCCCACCCTGTGCCCCAGGTCAGGAGGGTCTCTAGGGGTGTCTAGTAGTCACGGGGGCAGAGTCCCTCCTTTGGCAGGAAACAGACCTTTGCCCTCCAAGAACCCAGGGCTGGGAGAGACAGCTGAACCCCAGGAGCCTGCGCCCCGCAACCTGCCTCCTGCCTCCCGCCTCCCCCCGACCCTGCCCACCACCTGGTGGAAAGTCCTGACTGTATCCGGAGACTGTTTCCTGCTTCGCTTACCACTCTGGTCTGCTTATAATTCCACCCAGTTTACCGTGACCTGGCCAAATATTTAATCCTCAGCCTTCCTAATCGTCTAAATCAGAGCTGTCAGCCTAGGGCCTGGGGCTGGTTCTGGCAGGCTCCTGCCAAGCCCGACGCCGGCCCGATGGGCGCTGTGCTCAGCACACTGGCCCAGCCTGCCCTTGCTTGGACCCTTGTGCTCTTGGGCTTCAATGAGGAAATTCATGCTCTGTCGCCATCCTAGTGGCGTGTTAGAGCCGGGTGGGTTTCCAGCGTGAGTGGTGTAGGAGGAGGGCAGGGAAGGCAGCATGACACAGGTCTGGGCAGGCGGGCCGGGGCTGCGGGTTCAGTTCTGCGTGCCAGATGAGGCTTGGGGGAGCCTCTGCGGTTGCCTTGGGTGGCAGGTGAAGCGGCCCAGGGAAGTCGAGGGCCAGGGCTAAGGAGTGAGCACAGGCGGCGAGGGTTGGCCGCCTGACGGCCCCTGCGCGAGCTCGTCGTTCCCACCTCGGGAGGAGCCGGAGGTTCACATCCGCTAGCCCTTGCCTGCACTGAGTTGCCTCATAGAGGCAGAGCCAGGACTTGAGCCCAGCTTGCCTACCCGAAAGAAAAATAACAGGCCAGTCTTGCCCCACACCAGGCTTTTGGTCCAAATCTGACCCCTGTGTGGCATTTAGGAGATGCCGGATCAACACTTGGGCCCTCAGCCAGCCCAGTGCAGGCGGCCTCCACCCTGGCGGGACACTCCTGGCGGCTGTGCTGGGGGTGGGGTGGTCTGGGCAGCCCAGCAGCGCCCCTTGATTTAAGGTTGAGTCCCCTGCAGGAAGCACGGTGACCACAGGAGGTAGATTGGGCACCAGAGGCAGGCAGGGGGCTTTTCAGATCTCGAAGTAGTTGATCATGTCGGATTGGTGTCTCTGCTGGCTCTGCTGGCGTGGACAGGAGACCCCGGGAAAGGTTTCCAGGCCTGGGAGGGGCAGCCCTGGGAGGGCTGGCGGGGGCGAGCCTCTTCCTGGAGGTCAGTGGAGGAGCTGGTGTTGACCTTGGGGCAGGAGGTAGTGAAGGACACAGGTCCTCGGGGGTGGCGGAGAAGCGGGGACAGGGCATGAACGAGGAGGGTAAGTGGGCGAGAGTCTCCTCGCCAGAGCTCCTCTGGTCAGCAGAAATTGCAGTGAGCCCAGCAGAGGCGTTTCCTCTGGAAACAGGCTCGTCAGACTCACTCGCTCCATGTGTGTCGGGAAGGAAGGGCGCTGTGCCTGATGTCCACCCGCAGCCATCCTGGCCGGCGACCAGGAGCGCGCACTGAGGCCAGCCGCCGGGACCGCGGGCCCCAGCTCCACGTCTCAGCGGCGACCACCTGCCGCCCGAGACGGGTTGGGGCTCTGGGCGCTTGGCCTGCAGGCAGCTTGGCCCAGAGCCACGTCCCTTTCCCGGCTCCAGAGGTGCCGTCCAGACCTGGCCTCCCCGCTTCGTCTCGGTTTAGGCAGGTTACGGGGAGCAGGCGCGGTGGCTGCGCCGGTGGGAGGTGCGGCAGGGGCGCTCGCGGCCACGCCTGGCCCGGCTGCCCCGTGCCCTCAGCTGCGCGCCTGCCCGCTCCTCCGCCCCTCCACGTTGGCCTCTTGCTTCCCGCCCCCACTGACGGCCGTCTCGGGGGGCTGTCGCAGGGAAGCGGAGCAGATGGAGTGTTCCGGCGCAGCCCTGCAGCTGGGGGGCTGTGGGAGGAAAGGTGAGCGGTGGCCTCCCGGGCGCAGCAGCCACACGGGCCCCTGCCAGGTGCCCTTGGCAGGCCTCTCAGCACACGCCGAGATGGTGCCAGCCCAGCACCAGCGTGCTGAGGGGAAGCTGTGCTGAGAGGTCACTTCCCCACTGCGATGGCTGGAGACGTGGGAAAGAGGCAAGACCGTAGGTCTCTGGAAAGAGATCCAAGGTTTCAGATCAGAGACGGCCCTGCAGATGTTCGTTTGACCCCCCCCTTCCCTCCCCCACCCGATTCTAAATATTCAGGAAGGAAGGTGGACTGTTGCATCCAGCGTGGAAACGAGACGTGTGTTTCCCGGCTGAGCCCTCCAGCCGGCCGTAGGCACCAGTGATAGGTCTCGGTGACGGGCCAGGGCGTGGGGTGCAGAATCCTCTCTGCCTCGGGCTGGGCAGCTTGGCCAGGTGGGGAGAGGGCCCGGCCTGCCGTGCAGATGTAGGGAAGCAGAAGGGGCGGGTCCAGACCTGGCGGTTTGGGAAGGGCTTTTCTGCTGGCGGAGAAATCAGCAGATTTGGTGGGATGGCCTGTAGTGGGGCGACGCAGTGCTTGGTCAAGCAGGGAAGACTGCGTGGGACAGGCCCCTGCATCTGCCCCCACTGTGAAGGACAGGCAGAAGAGGAAGGCAGAATTCTGGGGGCGGGGTCAGGGATGGACACAGCCTGGGATTCCCAGGCCCTGGGTTACAGTTTGTCTGGGGTTTCCTAGTGAAGGCTGTGGGTGAAGCTGAGCGCACGAGGGAGCCTCAGGGAAGAAGAGCAGTCTTGGACTGCCCTGGGGGGCGCGGTCCGGAGCCCGGCGCGGCCACTCCCCAGCCCGACTGTCCAGACGGTCTCTCTGGGGCCCAGCCGTCCCCGTGCCTGTGGGGACGGCTGTGGTGGAGTGCACATGGGGAGCCGCCTCAACACCGGGTTCCTGCAGTGATCGTTGTCACCACTGTCGCACTCCTTCAGAGTATGTAAAGTTGAGGCTCATTCAAAGTTTCCCTAAACCCGCAGACCTGACCTTGGAAGGGCTGTCGGGCCGCCATTTTCTGACTTGCTGGCCCCATCCAGCCCCTCTCCAGGCTCAGCTCAGCAACCAGGACAACACTGGCTTCTGCCCAAGGGCTGGGACCCAGAGAGCCTGGGCCTGGCGCTGCCACTCTGCCAGACACCGCTCTGGGCGCCGCACTGTTAGGTGACCTGGGCAGAAGCCCGGAGAGGTCATGGAGAGACCGGCCCCACCCTGCGGTGTGCTCCCTGGGAGATGGCGCTGTGCGGCCTTTCGAGGAAAAGGGCCCCCTTTCCAAATACTGGACCATGCCGTCCTGTCCAGGTCACAGAGAGGAGAGGGACTTTGTGGGAACAAGCAGGCTGGACTCTGACTTCAGACACAGTTGGAACCACCTTGGAACATCTGTGAGGCCCCAGCACATAAAAATGTTTTCCTTCTGGCAGCCACTTTTATAAGGATGTAATAATATATGCATTGCAAAACTAGTTCTGTTTCTGGTGTGTCAGCATTGCCAGCAAGCCGACCCTGGCCAGGTGCGAGCGGTGTGGGCGGGGCTGCAGGAGGCTGTGCACCAAGGCCGCGGCCCAGGCCCTGCTGTCCTCCTGGGCGCTCAGTCTCCTGGAGGACCCGGCCTCCCATTTTCCTCCACTGCCCTCCACATCTCTCACCTTTGTGCAGCTGTAGGCTTTAGCCTTTCTGTCCTGGAAGGCTGCGCCTGAGAGGTTGCGCCACTGCTGTGACGTCCTTGCCCAGCGGCCCAGAGACCCTCTGGCGGTCCCATGGAGACAGGCGCTTCTCTTAACATGGACGCTCGCCTCTAAGCTCCTGGGGGCGGTTCATCGCCACTTCAGGTTCATGGCACTTTCCCTCCTGCTTTGTGGGGGTCCTTGAAGATCTCTGAGTGTGAGACTCCCCAGAGAACACCTGGCACGGCGGGTCAGAGATGCTTTGTGGGGGTCCTTGAAGATCTCTGAGTGTGAGACTCCCCAGAGAACACCTGGCACGGCGGGTCAGAGAAGCCATCATTCCGGCCTGTGCCCCCCATGCTTGACCAGCCCTCGCAGGGCATGTCTGCCAGGAACGCTTATCTTTGCCTTGATGGATTAGTCTGAGAACCTTGCAGATGCCTTGTGAGCCCTCGGTGGTCACCTGCGCTGGTCCCCGCTTGGGCCAGCTCTGGCGGGGTCACCAACACGTGCTGCTTGGTGGGCAGCTGCGGTCTGTCGCCCAGGATGTCCGTCCCACAGTGACCCGGCGGGCGCCCTGCCAGGTCCTCCCAGGGCACAAGGCTGAAATGGCCCCGCTTCTCCCCATTTCTTGTAATCAAACGAATTGTGGCTCAGAATCCAGTCCTGGGGGTTCTGCTGGGCCAGGCAGGGGGTGTCTGTCACCTTGCTAGGGAGGAGGCACCTGGCAGCTGTGGTGGCTACTGGGAGCCGGGCGCGCTCCCATCTGGGCGCCTGGAGCGGTGTCAGCGTGGCCCCGAGGTCGTCTGACAGCAGTGGCCGCAGCCACGCGGCGTTCATCACACCTGACGTTCGACACCCAGGGTCCCCCTCCCAGGGCTCTGCCCCCGCAGCGCTCGGGAGCGACGAGTGTTGCGCCCGCGTCTAGCTTGTGTTTGCCGGTAGATGCAGCTGGCGCCAGACAGGAAGCAGCGGAGCGGCGTGAGGGCCCCGGCGCTGTAGCCCGGGCAGGTTGCTGGACACCTTTGTGCTTCTGTTCCTTGGGCTCGAAATGGGGTTCTCAGGAAGGTGAAGCGGGGAGAGGGGTTGCCACCAGGAAGCACCCTGAGTTTGCAGCTGCTGGCGTCCACTCTCGGGGCTGTCAACAGGGTGCCTGTGCCCCTCTGCTGCCCCTTCCTTTAAGTGCCAAACAGGTCAGCCCAGGCCCGGGGGAGTCTACCTGGGATCGCACTTGCGATCCTGCGGGACAGCAGGCATCCTCCTCTTGAAGGAGCCCCATGCTCCTCCACACTAGAGGTTCTCGGGGTGCAGCTTGTTCACAGAGAGCCCGGGCTGCCCCCCAGGGATGCCAGCGAGTCCATCAGAAACGTCCGTCTGCATGCACGTCAGGCCGTATTTCCCCTCTGGCTCCGTCCCTCCCTGTGCTCCCCCCACAGGTGGGGTCCTGGGCATCTGCTGGCTTCCAGTGACTGAAACAAGGCAGTTTGTACTTTGGTTTCTCCACTACTGGGGCAACTTGTTCCACCTGCTTCCCGCCCCAGAGCTGCCAGGGGGAGGACAAGCTCCTTGCCAGCCATGGAGAGTGGGCTGTGCCCTCAGTAGAGGCTGCGGTTCTCAGGGAGCGCCCGGCCTCTTCTCACTAAGGGATGTTTCTGTCTGTTGCAGATGGAGAAAGATGAAACCGTGAGCGACTGCTCCCCACACATAGCCAATATCGGGCGCCTGGTCGAGGTAAGTGGGCCTGCGGGTGCCCTGGGCTGACAGGCTGGTGCCCCTGCTGTGACAGGTCACCCCTGAAGCCTGTTTCTCATTTTTGCCACAGCCTCGTGCTTTCAATCTGGATGTTGGCCGGGCTCAGCTCTGAAACACATCCCACTCCTCGGGAGTTGGCTCAGGAAGCCTCAGTCCGCTTCCCCCTATCCCGCCAGGTGCAGGCAGGGCCTGAGCTCAGAGGAAAGGGGTCCCTGGAAAATTGGGGTTCTGGAGGCCCTGCAGCCGCGGTTGCGCACACTGTGGAGAAAAGGCAGTGCCCGTCAGTGTCACAGGATTGTTCAGCTGGTGCCCAGGCGGGGGGAGTGACGTGGCTTAGACCAGCGCCAGTGATGGCCAGCCTTGGCCGCCAGTGTGACGGGGACGTGCTCAGAGCCCAGTCCGGCTGGGGTCTTGGCTCAGGGGCTGCCGGCCAGCTCCTGGTTGTGCACCTCCCCCGTGTGGTCACAGTGGGTGCTGTAGGCCTAGGGTGGGCAGACCCAGGGCTCCCACAGGCCCCGTGTCTGACTGACCTTCCTTCCCAGGACATGGAAAATAAAATCAGAAGTACGCTGAATGAGATCTACTTTGGAAAGACAAAGGACATTGTCAACGGGCTGAGGTAACGTACCGAAGTGCAGGTGGATGTGAATAATAGGCTCACTGGCTCCATGGCTGCCTCACTTGTGTCGCAGGCCCCATAGGCTGCATGAGCAGGTGTTGCAAGGTAAGGCCTAGAGCCGAGGCCTCCCAGCAGGGGCCGGTTCACAGCGCCCTCGTCCCCCAGCTTACTGACCCTTTGAAAGATCTGCCTGTTCGCTTTGGTCGCCTGAGGGTGCCCCAAACCAGACCAAACCCTGGGCCACCAGGCTCTTCTGCAGGCTTGCTTCAGGACAGCAGAGTGCATCCTACCATCCCGCTGCCCTCTCGGGGCCCCCAGCCACGCCGATGTCCTCTGCCAGGCATAGTTGGCTGTGGTCTTGAGCCCCGTGGCCTGTGGCATCGCTCAAGTGAATGCTGAAGGGACTCTCTGGGTCTTCAAGGCACAGCAGGAGCGCCCCACAGGGGTGGGTGAGGTAGAGGCGATTGAGCCCTGACCTCAACGCAGGAGGCCAGGATCTCACGCAGGCGTCTGTGGGCTTGGTGGCCCCTGAGGAGCCACTCCTCGGTGAGAGGCCTGTGCTCCCCATCCCAACCCCTCAGCCCACCCTGTGTGCAGACAGGAGTTACGGCCCCAGAAGAGGCAGGAAGCACCCAGGGCCTGCCCTGGCTTGTGCTTTGTCCGGGGGAGACAGCCTCGGTCTCCTGCTCCAGCTCCCCTGCCTGAGGAGGGCTAGGTCTGGCCTTGGGGTTCTCTGCCCCGCGGCATTGCTCTCCTGGGACTGAGCCAGAGGCCTCATAACTCCCGGTGCCCTGTGTGCTGGCCAGCAGGGCGTGAGCCCAGCGGGCCCCGGCATCAGGCCTGCTCCTTGGGGCTCTCCTACCCCCCACCGCCAAACAGGCCCAGGTCAGGGGTAGAAAAAGGGGGTCAGCCAGCCTACTGGGTGGGATTGTGAGCCCCCCCATAACGACCCCTGGAGCGCATTGCCCCTGGCAGCCCCAGAGCAGCATGGCCTTGGCGACGCCCCTCTTTGCCTCCCGTGTCCCTCCGCTTCCTCTCCGCCGTGGCCCCTCTCCCGGACCCCGCCGCCCTCCCCCTGCGCTCACTCTGAACACTCTCTGTAGATCTGTTGACGTTATCCCCGACAACCCCAAGTTTCAGCAGTTGCAGCGGGAACTTTCCCAAGTGCTGACCCAGCGCCAGATCCACATCCAGCCTGATAATTAAGCCGATCCAGGTACCCTGCCTGAGAGGCGTGAGCACCCTCCCCACTAAACAGGACTCACCAACCTGCCGAGACCCTCCAGTCCGGCTGCTGCGGCGCGGCCGTGTAAACCACACTAACCTGTGCCGGCTCGGCGGCGAGGGCCCGGGACCGCGTGCGGTGTGCGCTTCACCGGGCGGGGGGCAGACGGCAGGGTTTAGTTTTCACGCCTGGGGGAGCCCAGTGTGGGGCACTGCCTCGGGCAGACCTGCTGGTCTGTGCTGCCACAGGGGCCGCGCCGGCTGCCAGTGGCCGTGTGCCGGGCAGCCTTCGGCTCTGGTGTGTGCGGCCGGGTCCCCCCGGCTTTCTCCCCAGAAGCCAGACAAGCCCTGTTCTTGGTGCCGTGGACTTTCCGGGACCAGCTGACTTGGAGAGGGGCTGCGGCTCCAGGTCTGAGGCTGGAGCAGAGCCGGGGCAGTCAGCCCTCTGGCTGGGCCCCGGGCACCCCCAGCCTGGGGCTGCCGGAGCTCCCCGGGCCAGCGCCGCCTTCGCCCTAATGAGCTGCAGCTGTCCTCTTAAACGCCTTGTGCTGACGGAAGGGAAAATGCTCTTGCCTGTTGGTAATGGCCGAGAACCGTGGCTGGAGCTGGTGACAAACCCAGATGTGTGAAAGCAGCCTGCATCCTAGAAAGGGAAGCTGGTTTTCAAAACAAGGCTTTTGCAAACCCAGCCAGGCCTGTCTCAGGCTTAGCCCCCAACCCAGGGGCCAGGAGCTAGATGCTGAAAACCCAGCCCAGACACTAGGGGCCGGGAGCACCCGTGTCACAGGGAGGCTGCTCCTGCGCCTTGGGACTTGGGTGTGCAGGTCAGGTCCGTGGGTGCCCAGCTTCAGGCCCAGCGTCCTGTCAGCCGCCAGCCTCGTGCTGGGAGCTTCACAGCCCATCACGGCAGGGAAACCTGTGACCCTGCTGTTTTCTCCCCGCTCCTGTAGGGATGCCCCTGCAGCATGGTGGGCAGCCTGGCACCCAGCATCTGCCTGGGGACAGGGCTCCCTCCCACACCGAGGCAGCACTCCTCCTGGCCTTGGTTCCAGATGGCTTGGCAGTGACTTGCCAGGCTCTGTCCCTAATGAGAGCTCTGTGCCTCGTACCCCGGCTGCCTAACCTCAGGTCTGTTACCTGCGCCTAACGCCAGCCTGGCGTGCTCCGCGTCTCCCAGAGTCGGTGCCATGTGGGCGCCACCCCCCACCCCCCCTCAGTGGAGGTTCCCCAGCAGTCCACAGGGGCTGGTGGGGTGTGGAGTCTGAGGCCAGCGGGGCTGTTGCCCAGCAGGGCAGCCTGGGGAGGGACGGGCATGCTGCAGCACCCCCAAGAGCCTGCATTTCTCATGGGGCTTTTTTCTAGTCCCATAAAGGCTTCAAGGTCTCGGCTTTCCAGCCTCTTGCTACTTCCAGGCTCCTTCCTGTCGTTTTTCTAGGATTCAGCAGCCAGAATTCAGCCTGTGAAGCTCTTGTTTCTCTTGGGTCCTACTTGATTTTACTTTGCCCATTTTTGGTTTGGGGGAAGTTTCCCTCCTCCTCCTCCTCCTCCTCCTCTCAGGGTGCCTCCAGCTTGAGATTCCATGGCAGTCCTGCCCACACCTTCCCACAGGCAGCCTTCCCTGCTCTCTTGGGGGCAGGGGTGTGTGGATGGTTTTACTAAGTTCACAGACAGCCACCATGCCGGGTAAACTGGACTAAGTGACCGTGCGGGCCGTCGCCGGGGCATGTTTGAGCCGCCTCTATGAGTGGGTGCTTGTCACAGCCCCCCGCAGCGTGGCGGGCAACGGTTCCATGCGTGTGTGGGCCCTCCCGGTCATCCGACTGCACGAAGCGTGGTGGGCAGCAAGAATGAAGCGTGGCGTGGTGGACATGGTCCCAGGCCTCGGCCCGGCGAGCAGGGCCACAGCTGAGCCCCACGCTAGTCCCTTGCTTAGGGCCACAGCTGAGCCCCACGCTGGTCCCTTGCGCAGAGGCCCTTCCTCGCGGCGGCACTTAGGCTGTGACCCAGCATGCTCAGCTGCTCAGTGGCGCCGGTTCTTAACCCTCGCTGAGTCGGGGCACCCCTGTACGCCATGTTTGGACAGGGGTGCATGGGGGGCTTGAGAGCAGGGTCCTCATGGCCCATTGTCTCTAGCCCCTTAGCCCAGACTGCCTGAGGGTCTTGCTGTGTGTGCTTGGAAGCCCAGCTGGCTTCCTTTGGCTTCGCCCCTTTCCCACAGGAGGGGTGCTGCGGCCAGGCCCCCAGCTGCAGAGGCGCCTGTCGGGGCCGGGCGCCTGCCCAGCGCTGCCCGGTGCGGAGCGGGGGCAGTCGTCAGGCCTCCGGCACAGGAGGAGGAGCCGTGCCCGGCCGGCACCTCACTGCCGCACCTCTGCCTGGGAAACCTAATGGTACCTTTCCTCCCTGGCAGGTCTGTGCAGACTTTTGCAGACAAATCAAAACAAGAAGCTCTTAAGAACGATCTGGTGGAGGCTTTGAAGAGAAAGCAGCAATGTTAAGCCCCGCTTCACGCTCACCGGGCACCGTGCGCGCGTAGAGTTCTTTCTTAGGAAACTCGTTTTCTGCTCCCTGCCCTCGTCCCTGCCCTCCCGAGAGGTCACGTAACAACTCGCATCACGACGCACCGCGCCGCTCTCCCGAGAATAAAGCCCAACAAACGCCCGTCTCCGTCTGCGCCTACTTCCCACCACATTTTGCTATCAAAACTCGGTATTTCCATAGAGACCGTGTGCTTTTCATTTGCCCCAGCCCCCGCCTCCTCCCCACCCCCATTTATAGACGTGAAGTACACTGTCTGCCTCCCCTCCACTCCCACCTTTTTGTTACATTGGTGTAAAAAATGTAAAACAAAAAAATTTTATGAAGTAACTGTGGTGTGAAAGAAAGAAGCAAAACTGGAAATCTGATTCCACGTGTGTTTGGGAGTTGCTTGGGTTGGGGCAAGGGGACAGGGCAGCCCCACGAGCAAGGAGAGGTGTTCGCAGCATCCTGCACAGACTGGCCCTGTCCCATGTGGGGCGGGGTGGGAGGGGTGGGGCCTGCTGACCTCTGCTCTTCTGGCCAGGTGCTTTTCTGTCGATTTTTATGGAATGCAAAGGAATTTTTGTTTTATTTTGTTTTTTTGTAAAGCTTAAAAAATCTACATCTTATACTTGAGCTTCCATACTTAAAAAAAGGAGAAAAAAAACAAAAAAAAAAAAAATAAAAAGAAACTGGGACACAGCAGTGGCCTTGACTTCTTCTCGCCTGTCCCACTTCCCGGGCGCATGCGGCCTTGGCCGTGAGGCCTGACCCAAGCCCGAGTGTGGCGGGGGCAGAGGATGGGACGCACAGCTGAGTGGGGAGAAGAGGGGCTTTGCGGAGCCTGGAGCTGCTGACCGGCGTGTCCCCCACCTGCCCTGGAGAGCTGTGGACACTTAAGCCACACCAGGTAAGTAGAGGTGCGTGCTCCCCGGGTCTGCTCCCCAGACACCTGCGGGTGCCGCTGCCTGCCCTCAGCCCTTGGTGACGGGAGCCTCACCCTGACACCTCACAGCCGCAGAGTCCACGCTCCCCATGCGCTTCCAGGAGGAGCTGAAGCGCCTGGTCTGTCGCCGGCCTGACATGGTCCTGGCCCCAACCAGGCTCTTTCTGTCAGTAATAGACGGGGCCAGTCGGCGCCCGCCAGAGGGTGGGTGGGGAAGGCCAGAAGGCCCACGCTCGGTTATGGGACAAGTTGGGCGTGATGTGTGGGAGACGGCTCGGGCGCACTTGGGGTGAGTGGCTCAGCGTCAGTCTGCAGAGGCCCCAGCACCAAAGCAGCGGCCTGTGCGGAGAGGGCGGGTCTGGGCAGGGGTTGGTCGCTGTGTTCCCACACTTTGAGTCCCTGGTCGCTCCGCTCTAATTTCTGTTGGCGACTGAAGCGAGTACGTGTTAGGTGGCTACTGTATTTTATTCAGTTAAAATAAAAGAACGGCACTCACCTCCCTGCAGGTACTTTGAGATCTGTGTTACTGGTTTTGCCATTCACATTTCTGATGTTAGGAAGTAAATGATCTATTTCTTTAGAATTAGCTGGTATTATTTTTTGTTTGTTTTTACAAAGCTTTGGTATAACAGTATCACTTCTTATTGCCTTTATTTTTTTTTAAGATTAATTTATGCATACAAGAACTGGGGTACAGACCAAAGGTGCAGGGGGTGAGAGGATTCCCCAGAGACAGAGTCAGGAGCAGAACAGGCTAATTGCTGAAATACACTGCTGAGGGGAGCAGCAGGGAGTCGGGAGAGGGCTGCTGCGCCCTGTGGGTCTCTCCCTGGCCGGGGACCGAACTCGTGCTGCAGCTAGCTTCATAGTGCTGTGCTCTAACCTGTTGTGCCACCAGGGAGGGCCCCTGATTAGCTTTTTTAAAAAAGTTCAGAATTTAATAAGTATTTCATATAAACACATAATTAGAGAAATTGAGTTCCTGGAGTATATTTAATTGGGCCATGGTATTTTTAAGTTTTCATTTGAATTTTATCTTTTAAAATATGTTATGCTCAGGAGGATGCACAGACTATTGGATCTGGCCCATCTGGTGAGGGACATCTTTTACTCCTCTCAGCCCAGCCACCACCAGATCCCCACCAACCTTAGGCCTTCGGATTACTCTGTAATGACCATTGATGCCCTTGTGTTGGCTAGTGAGATGCAGATTTTGCAAGATGTATTCACTACCTGCAACTTCTCATTCAAACTTAATACTAGCTTATCTATGTTTGCAAAGCCCATTGAGCTATGATTTACATACTAAATCACCCACGTAAAGTGTGCAAATTCCATGGCTTGCTGTGCTTGCTTCCTACGCCTGTGTCGTTCACTACACGTTTAGTGAGCTGACTGCGTCCTGGGGTATAAAACACTGGTGGGTGGCGAAGTCGGAGACATTGACATTCCCGAGGTGGTTAGTAACAGTGGTCTTTATTGAGCAGTTATATGTGCAGAGTGGAGCTACCTCCGGCTGTCCCAGGGCTGGGACTGATGAGTAGTTACGAGTTGACTTAATCCCCAGCAAAAGGGAAAGCCCCCCCCCCCTCGTGCTGACAGTCACTAGCCCTGTCAGGTTAGTGCTAGGACACGAGTTGGTCAAGGCTGGGCACCTGGTAGCTACCCAGAAGCTGCTGAGGGTCCACCCTTAAGCTGCCATGAAAGCCAAGAGCAGGGGAGAAGGGTGGGAAGCGCAGCCTGGTAGCAGTGCCCTTTCTCTGCTTCGGGGAGTGAAGACCACGTTGCCTGGGCTCTGAGCCTGGCTTCGCAATTTACGAGTTTGCTAAGGAAGAACTCCAGGCTGGGAGGGCTGCGACAGAGCTGGGACTGGGCCTTGGGGAGGCCACCGCCAGCCAGCCAGGCTTCTCACAGCATCTCTCTCTGCAGTTAAAATGGCATCCGCCACTAGAGAACCGGGTGGCTGTCACCAGCCCCACCAGCTTGCTGCGGCAGGAGCCTCCGCACAGTCAGTGTGGCGCCACTTTCCTGGCTGGTCTGGGCCTGAAGCCAAAGTGCAGAGCTCTGCTGTGCTCCCACCCGGCCTGGGAGGATCCAGGCTGTCCCGTGCTCCAGGCCACTCCTAGAGAAAAGGACCCCGCCACCCTTGGCTGTGTCAAAGTGCAGGTAACATGATCTTGGGAAAAGGAAAAGCACTCTACACTCAGGAGGGACCTGGGGACGCCCAGGGTATCAGCCAGTGCTGAACATCGCCACTGAGACCACGTCCACTGTGACCACCCGGGTGCAGACGTGGAGTTCCCAGGCCCATCACATTTAACCACCATAAACACTTCTGCCAGCAGAGGGCGCTCCCCGTCAGCTTGGGGTTTCCTGAGGAGGGAGGAACCACAGCGCTCAGCCGGCTGGGCAGCGCCTGAAAGCAGCAGCTGTTACCCAGCACCCTGGGTGTGTCCCAGGAGGGAGTATGTCACTCCCATCAGACAGGCCTTCCCCAGCAGGGGCTGAAGGTTTCATCTCTGCCACCTAGCTGAGGTTCAGCTCCATGCTGGGGGTCAGGGAACCACACCTGTCCGGGCAGGGAGGATGCCACCTGGCATGGAGTCCCACTTCCACACTTGACCCTGAACCAGGCCAGGACCAGAGCCAGCTGGGGCCTGGGGCACTTTCTGCCAGGCCAAAGCCTTGGGTGGCTCCCAAGGACAAGGGCGAAGCTGCAAGCCCTGGATCCGGAGCCAGGAGGGCGGGGACTGTGAGGCCCTGCCAGGTCTGGGATGGCGCCCTGGTGGTTCAAACAGCTCCCACTCCTAGCTGTGCTACCTCGAGTGGGTTAATTCCTGGAGCCTGCTGTCCCACCTGCACATGGCCTTCCTCAGAGCCTTGAGGGCTGGGTGAGAGCGCAGCCCAGGTGGCACACAGCAGTGCCCAGGGAACACAGCCACTTACAAGTTCTGCAGGAGCCAGAACAGGGCTGGGGGAGACTGGCCTTATCTGCCCTCACTGCCCACCTGAGCCTCAGGTGACCCTGCTGGGTCACTCCAGATCCCAATTCCTGCTTCCACGTCTCCCAGCCAAACCCAGTCACTGGCTGTCGGCCCCTTTCCTCACATCTGGCCCTTCCCTCTGCCTTCAGAGTTGGCTCTGGGCCCCCTCTTCCGTGAAGCTCTCCAGGTTGAGCCTCCTGGGGTTTCTATGGCGCTTTGTACAATCCAGCCCGGTTCTTACCACTAGGGCCTGGCAACCATTTCCCCGCTGTGAGGGCAGGGAGTAGAGCTGCCTCACCCACCCCAGCAAACATCTGTGACCCCTGACTGGACTGTGGCACCCCCTCTCAGTGAAGGCTGTGGCTCCACTTCCAGAAAAGAAAGATTCTAGAAGACTCAAAGAGGGGCTTTGTTGTTTGGAGCTGTTTTCTCTCTCCAACCAGCCCACCCAGGTGGCTCTGGGTCCTGGGAGATTTGGGGTGGGGTGAGGTGAGAGCAACAGGCAGGGGAGCCTGCCTGTCTCTGGGCACTCATGAGGGCAGGGCAACAAAAGATGGACACAGAATGGGGGCTGGGGCAGCCCAAGGCTGGGGCCCAGGCAGAGCCCTGCCCTCCTCTTCCTCTGTGAAATATCCCCACGCGCCACGCGATCTCCTCCTGCTCACCTTTATGCCATGCCCTCTGGAAAGGCCTGCCATGTCTGTCACCGCCAACAGAAACTGGTCTTTTATTTCTGAAAAGTCACGCCAGGCTTTGGGGCTAGACGCTGTAATCACCCCAATCCTACCAGGGCATATGAAGTGGTACCCATTTCACAGATGAGGTAGCCGAGCCCCAGAGAAGCTGGGCCACAGAACCCAGATCTGAACCTGACTACCTGCTTCTCCCTGAGTGCTGAGGGGCAGGGGTCGGGCTGGAGTCACCAGCTGTCACCAGGTGTGGGGCCTGTCTCAGAAAAGCAGGGTGAAGACACCTGAGGCCCCGGCAGGCTGGGCTGGGGCTGGCCAGCAAACTCAGCTCCCAACTGCTCTTGACATCCTGACACTTGAGGGCCCCACCTGGGAGCTGGGAGGGGGAGCCCAGATGCCCAACCACAGCTGTGCCAGAGCAGCGGGATGCTCTTGCTGGGGAAGGAGCAACAGAACATGCCTTGGGGAGATACCGTTTACTAGGGGTCTGGAGGCCACGGGGCAGACCCGGGTGTGGCTGCCGCTGGGCCCCTCCCGGAAGCAGGAGGAGGAGGTAGGTGAGCTGGGGGTCAGCCAAGCTGTGTGTGGGAGGGCAGGTCCCGCCCTTCCCTGAGCTCCCCCGTCCCAGATCAGCCCCGGGGCGGGTGTGGGGGCCAATTTGCCCATGGCAATCAGCCCATGTGGTTAGGGCTGGGGGAGGTGGCTAGGCCTGGAGTCCTAGGCTGGCCAGGCTCGGTGCGCGGCCCAGGCCAGGGCCAGCAGCACCTGACTGCCCAGACCTCTCCTGGTGCAGCCTCTGGAGGTTGCAGTCAATCCGGGTCTCCACAGCCTGGTCAGCTGGGGAGCAGAGGCTGGCGCTCTGAGGAGATGGTGGCATTCCTGTACACCAGGAACTGTATGGAGATCTGGCAGGGCCAAAGTCAAGGCCAAGCAGAGCAGAGACTGGGCTGGACCTGGCGCTGGGGGCTGTTTCCCTCTTCCCAACCCCTCGGCCCCTCAGGGAGGCAGAAGGGTCAGCCATGACCTCTGCTGTGGCCGCACCATCCCCTCGGAATGCCTCCCTGCTCCCCAACCCCTAGCTGAACTCCAGCACCTTCCAAGCCCAGCGCTGGAAGGATTTAACATCCCTCTTAACAGCATCCTGGGGGTTTCGTCAGCGCTGCGGGCCACTTGAGGGCACTAGAGCTTCAACTTAGCGTTCTCACTGCCCTGCAGAACCCAGGCTATCCTGTCCCAAGCAAGGCCCAAGCCCTGGCCTATTCAGTCCCTTAGCAAATGCTGACTGAGCATTTGCCGCGAGGGGCCATGTGCCGAGTGTCTGCACACCTTATCTCAGGTGACCCCCAGTACTCTGGTGAGGCAGCGCCGCATCCCACCACGTAGGTAACGACACAGAGCGCAGAGGTAAGCTCTGTCACACAGCCAGGAGGTGGCGGGGTGGGGTAGACTTCAACCCCAGGATCTCCTGACATGCTCACGTGTGTCTCATGGTGCAGCTTGCAGCCTGAAAGGGCTGGCTCATGCCTGTCCCTCAGGGCCTGTGCGCGAGCTGCCCCTGGAGCACCTCCTCGCTCCGCCTCTTCTCCGCAGGGCACAGCCTAAGTGGCCTCTGCTGAGTCTCTGACAGGACACCACACGCAGTTCTGGCTGTGAGGCAGCCATTACTTGCGAAGCGTGTGCCCTGACTGTCTCCCAGTGGGCTACATGGTCCCCTATCCAGGAGCCGTTCTGTTCTGCTCACTACCAGATGCCGGGCCCCTGAGGAACTCAGGCCAAAGGGGCTCGGCTCATGGCTGGGTGGGTAGGCGGGGGTACCAGATGCCGGGCCCCCGGGGAACTCAGGCCAAAGGGGCTCGG